TAACCAGAGGAGATGCTCCACCTATTTTTAAGGGAAAAACAGTCCGCGTTTCTGAATTCTCTAATGACTCAGCTGAATTCAGTAAGTAGCCTGTCTGTCTCTTCAGAGATGTACTAAAGAATGTTGAGAAACCTGAAACCGGTGCCACAACAGTAGTGGCTGACAAACTGACTGGATGAGTAGTTCGAGTTTGTACTGAGGACAAAGCAGGAGCTGTTGTTTTCAGCCCACTGTGCTCGCCGATGCAAGCGCGTGCGTCGTATCGGCTGTAAACCAACGTAGCATCAGTATACGACAACACCGGCACGCGTAATTCTTCCTTTTTTTATGCAGCATGTTTACTTGCTAGTAGCTAGCTGCTGTTTTCAGTCCACTGTGCTCGCCGATGCAAGCGCATGCATCGTACTCGTACCACCGGCTATACACTACCGTTAGCGATGGCCAGTCCGACCCCACTACCATTGGACCTGATCCTTCAGTTTATTTCTTATTTTAGTAAGGATCAAATAAAAATAAGTTAAAAAGTGACATTTTATTTTCACCTTCAATATATTATATTCTTCAGTTTATTTCTAAGCATGGACGTTCTTAACAAGTTATCATCAATCGTGTTTGTTCGAGAAAAATAAGAAGATCAACAAGTTAGAAAAAATATTGTTTCACGTGATTGGGTCGACCCATCCTACCTATTAGGTCAATAGGTTCTGGACATATCGACCAATTTTCCGATTCTGAGGGCATCCCTTGTGGCCCAGTAATATTGGTTTCATGTGTTCAACCAACTACCCAATAGGTCAACCTGAACCATTTTCATCTCTAACCACAGTATGCTACAAGTCCACAATAAACATCGACATGTGTTGGTCTTCCCTTTTTTTGCAACATGTTTGCTACCAAGGTCAATCTTAGTGGAAGTTTTATGGCACTAAATAAGTTGACATGACACATAATAGATGAAGGGAGAGATGATGAAAGTTTTACGGGATGAAATGAGTTTTATGAGGATGAAACTTATGTGCATTGTATTTAACACATGGAGTCTTGGAAACTGGAAGATAAAACTCCCGCTGAGACTGGCCTAATACTCCCTTCATCCAAACGTGTACGTCTCACTTTTTTATGACTCAATTAATCTCAAATTTAACTAAATATATGAAAAAGTACTAATATTTACTATAGAGAATAAGTATCATTTGTAATATAATTTTTATGGTAAACACATTTAGAGATATCGAAGCTATTTTTATAAATCTAATAATCAAATTCAAAAGTAACTGATTATTAAAAGTCGAGTGTATTTTTTTGAAAGGAGGGAGTAATTGCTATGGAAAGACGTAACTGCTGACAACATGCAGAGCGGTAAAAAGACCGATGAGGCGACAGCTACGGAGGTACCATCATACCAAAGACATCAAAGGCCTACGATTGGCACAGCGTACCCGACGTCAACATTAGGTTCAACTCTCGTAGCAAACACCAGATAACGTACGGTTCATATAATTAGGCACTGTTTAGTTCCAAAAAATTTTCACCCTAAAGTGTCACATCGAATCTTGCGGCACATGTATGGAGTACTAAATGTAGACGAAAAAAAACTAATTGCACAGTTGGGTGAGAAATCGCGAGACGAAACTTTCGAACCTAATTAGTCCATAATTAGACACTAATTGCCAAATACAAATGAAAGTACTACAGTAGCCAAAACCAAAAAAATTCATCAACTAAACGCGCCCTTAAAAGAACACGCACTATGTATGTACGATAATGAATTCTAGCAGACATTGGTTCTTCAGACCCGTGGAAATTAAATTAAATGAACCCCAAGCAGCGGCGAAGCCACAGTGCATGTGTCGGGGTCATGCGACCCCGATAACTTTGTACAAATAAGTGGAACCCCGCGTATTCCGGCCAGCTACGACCCCATCAGATTGAGTTCATGAATCTGTGTGACCTCGACAGCAGTTTAGTCTAGATTCGCCGCTGACCCCAGGACCTACGGTTGACAAGGCACAGTGACGTGAACATGCGGCTCAGCTCTTCCGAAGGCAACAACGTACGATCTTGGTTGAAAAAACAAAAAACCCGGTGTGGCGGTGACGCGGTGTGTGCGATCATAAGCTGTTGATGTTAGAGCTGTAGTAAGGCTGTAGGGGTTGTCTCCAACTCCAGGTGCTGTTTCTAGGAAAAACAGGGTACTGAATCCTATAAAATTGCAAAATTGCAATGCCGTGGAGTGCAGACGAAGAAACTGCAGAAAATGAAGTGTTGATTTTTCCTGGCGACGGTGCATAGAAAACGAAACTTCCTGGGAACATGCCTCCCCAGCTGAGACAGACAAGAATCAAAATCAACTGAAGCATGCCGTACTGACATCGCCAGCCCCAGCCAAGCTGTTTGCATGCAGGGATGGCGGAATGCTCAGTTCTTCCTTCTTCCTCCCCACGACAGGACAAACACAGACTCGAGGACGAACGGCGTCTGGTCACAATTCGTTCGTACGCAACTCGCTCACTGAAGCAAGAAGAACCAGTCGTCCTCGTCATGGATGATGATGGGTCGACGCCTATCTCCAATCCAACCATTCTATCTCTGTCAATGCACCGGCTCATGCTTCTTTTCGCGCAAGCAGGCAACCGTGCCGACCTCTGCTCCTATCCCGGTGCCTCCTCTGCTCCCTTGCACCGGACCGCCGTGGCACGGGCATCTGCTCGAAGGAACACGTGCTTGTCATTGGCCTTGTTCGTTGGTTGGTTTTTTTGACTGGTTTAGGCTGGCTAGTGCTAGTTTATTGTGAGAGAAAAACAATGTTGGCTGGCTGGTTTGGACTGGCTGAAACCAACAAGCGAACAGAACGAAAAAAAGGCAACCAGCCAGCTGAATACAGCCAGCCGAACACTGCCTAGCTGACTTTTTTTTTCCAGCCGGAGCAGTGTTTTTCTCTCATAAAATTTCAGCATAAACAGTGTTCCCAGTATAAACAGTACCGGATTTCATCCCAGCCGGACACTCCCAAAACGCCGGGATACGGCACTCGTTATAAATGGTTGCTAGCTAGACAAGACGGGGGAAGAGTATCTGGGATGGGAGCTTTCCGAGCTGTTTTGCATGGACAGCGTTCGTTCACGCGGCATCTGATCTGACGAGTTCGGCATGGCAAAGGCACCCAGGCTGCAGCTGAAGAACTGTTCAAACGAATGACCGCCGTGGCGCCGTGCATCTTGCAAGCCAACGTTCTTCTGAACCAGCCCGATGGCCGTGCCATACGGGGAAGCGGCGGTGCATGTAGCAGGCCAGTAGCTGTCAGCAACAGCAGGAGAAGGCAGCGTCTCGTCTCGCGTACTGTAGCAGATGTCGGGCCAGTGGAGGCAGGTCAGCTTGGATTTATCGCGCAGCTGAATCAACGCCTGCAGAGCAGAAATGGTCAAGGAAGGCTATTGGCCTATTAGGACGCTGTGTTAGGCAACCTGGTAGACACGTTCTCAAACAGCGCGTGTTTATCATTCGGCATGCGCTGACGATCGACCTATGGGAGCATGAACAAGTTGGTAGAATCTGCAAGAAAACAAAATTCGGGTGAATCGGACCCCACTGAGCCGGTAAACACGAGACTCTGTCTCTGTATATACGATCATACGAGATTGCGAGTGACAACGAGCAACAGTGAATGACAGCAGTGGTTACCTCACATAGTCACAGCATGTGTCTGTGGTTATTATTCCTATTATCCTATATACATCTTAAGGGATCAAGGGCATAAGGCTCATGGGATCCATGGAAATGGAGATAGAAATCTACTCCGTTAACTATAGTAATTAGTAGCTAGCTAGCTAGCTAGCTAACTGATCGTCCGAGCGAGGCTGAGAACCATCCGGGCATGTTTAGTTGGAGCCCTGGAAAAGTTGCCTGCGCAGGCAGCTCCACCCAAACACAGCCAAACCAAAATCTCAGGATCTGAATCAAGATCAACCAGGCCCTCAGTCTTCGGCCCAGCTGGTTGCCGTCTTCCCAATCTTGTGGAGAGCCTTGACGACTTCCTCTGGGGTAACGTTTCCTGTCACCGTGACCTTGTTTATCTCCGTCTCAAGATGATAGCTCTCCATATCTGCATGCACATATGTGCACGACTGATAAGCATGGTTAATGATACAAGAGCTCAAAGTGAATGATTTTTGTGGTATAGAAAGAATAGAGTTGACGGTTGGCTTACCGTCAATCGTTTTGATTGCCTTTTTAATGGCCTTGATGCACCTTTCACAGTGCATCCCAACCTTCAACTCCACAACCTGTGGCCATATGAAACTTTCAGGCTTCCCTACTGTAAACATGATAGATAAACTTCTAGATGCATGTAATTCAGGTAATAAAGAAAGTAGCCGATAAAAAACTTACAGCCATGGTTCCTGGAGAGTAGAGCCGGAGAGTAGCTGAGTAGGAGACTACTGTACCAAACTCAGAACAGCCTCCAAGTAGAGTTGCCTGCCTCTCTGCATCCGTGAGCTTATATAGCTGCATCCGTACCTTCCTCTTTTCTGCAAGCAATTGCAACTTTTGTTCTCCACCGTGCAAAATAAAGCATGCACTTTGCAATAGTTCATGAGGTCAGAGACTTCACACTCGAAAAGGAGCACTGCAAACAGCCAAAGGCCCACTAAAGGAATAGGGTAGATAAGAATCTCCTTTTGAACTGTCCCCAGCCAATCGCTTCTAAAGTCACTGGTTACATTAGCCGACTTGCGTAATTGCTCCAAAGGGGCTCAAGCCTGCTGTTGAAATGGATCAGTGTAATAAAGTGCAGATTTTTTTTCTGTTAACCTGTACCTCTAAAACGTCAGTTTAAATATCTCTGAAATTATTGCCTATTCATGACATTTTCCTTTTAATATAAAACAGCTAAATTACTAACCAACCGAACAGGAATTTACAAAAAGAAAGAACAACGCCACAAAAAGCGATGTCAACTAAAACAGGAGAACGACTTGGCTACTTCTAAATACCATAACTCAAATCATCCTTCGGTTGTGGGTTAGCTTTTGAGCTTGGATGCTACCATTTGCCACAACATCTGAATCAATTCGTTCCCTCTCCCCACATTCTATTACTGGTTGGGTGGGTGGGGTCATTTCACCATCCACCGCGAGTTTGACATCGATACCATTCCCCTCTGCTACTCCATTAGAGACTGGCAATTCAGCCGTAACCACTGATCCTGGCCCATTCTCCACATCATCACCGTTCATAAGTTTCTCATAGAAGCCGCCGTTCTTCACATCGTATAGGTTCCCAGTGCGCACCTCCTGTGCAAGCACGCAGTGCCAGCAGAATAACCACTGTGTGTAGTCTGTTAGTGATGCTGATCCAAAGCACCACCTGCTTCTGGGCAGCCCAAATGTCTTCCTCATCTGGATCCTCCAGAAACCACCGTACAGCAGACCAAAGAAACACAGCACAATCCCTGCAGCACCAATGAAATCACCAAGGACGTAGTTGTGGATTTTCATTGCTGTGATATTGAACACCCAGAATGGCGCAACACACAGAAGCAGGAAAATGACTGTGTGCACATACATGTTGCCAAACCCAAGCCGCTCCATGTTCCACCCAAACACACAGAACGTGCAGAGGAAAGAGAGGTAGCATGCAGTAGGGTCCTCGCTGCAGTCAAACAGCCTGCCAGCCCATGCAGGATTGCTCACCACAGTTCCTGTTTCAGGTGACTCGACTTGAACCATGTCTGATTCATTGGTTTCTTCATCAGACAGAGCATCATTGCCTCTGCCAAGAGGACTGTACACTGTGTATACTCCAGCAAAGACTGGTGCAGCGATGCCTAGGATGAAGAAGAAGTTGTCAGCAAAATCAGAGCGTGATCTGCTCGGGTAGCCCCAGTACAGGCCACAATCAGCATACTGGCATAAGCAAGTGATGTGGAGGAGGGCAACCACAAAGGATATGTGTGCTCGCTCATTTGGACGGCACATCCCATTCTTGCAGTAAACTTTCCTGAGCTTAGCAGCGTCCTCTGGCAGCCACCGGCAGAGGAGAACAGTATGGTGGATGATATTTGGGTGCTCGTATAAGCTCATGAGGGTGAAGAGGGCGTTAAGTATTTGATTGTCAATCTCTATCCAATAGTTTCTTAACGGCTTGGAAGGGAATGCATCGTTCAGCAGTCCCAACATTAGTAAGACTAACATGCCACCAGCGGCACCAACACAGAGCAGCCATATGAGGAGAGCAATGTTCATAGGATGTTTGAGCCATTTCTTGCATACAGTGAAAATTGAACTCCAGTTGATTTTTCTGATGAACTGAACATGAAGGCTGCCATGGATGCTAGTGGATGGCAGCCGAAATTTTATCAATGGAGAACCAAGATTGATCTTCTTTAGCCACTGCACCGAGGGAGTGGCTTCCAGGAAATCAAGAAGTCGTTGCTCATGACGGGCTGTACCTTGAATTGGTCCATCATGAAGAGAAGGAACTGTGATATGATATTCAGCCAGAATCGGTGAATCTGGACCTGAACATGGCACATCTTCTATATCATCTTCAGTGGTCTGAGCCATTTATGAATGGCTGAGGATTGTGCAAGGGCATAGGATGATTCACTCGAAGCAGTTTATCATAGAAATTACAGCATCTGTTGCATAGGAGAAAACAAAAGTGATTTAGAATACTGGATTTCGGAATTCAGCGTATGGGCAAAATATAACTGCAAGACAACATCACAAATAGTGCATAGATCCTGAGAAAGGGGAAGCATGGAGTGGCCTCCGGCAAGGATGATAATATTCGGCTAGCAAACTACTACGTTCAGCAATTTCAGCAAATCTATAGTAGAGCATATGCTGTTCGACTTATCTTGGTTCTGTACACATTTAAGAAGATAGGTCATAGGTACCAGTAAGATTGTAAGAATTGACATGACAATTGATGAGTTACATGATATTGCCAAACAAAAGTGGGAAGATCTGCGAGTTACCTAAGGCATAGGCACAAAAAGAAGCGTACCTCTGGATCGGATGGAGGAGTTAAACCAGAGCAAGGAATCCCCTCGAAATAATCAGAGGGAAAGCTGCTAGACTGATCAGGACCCGCAGGGCCGCACACTCGACTGAACCTGCAAGCAGCTTGCGATGAACTGGAGCTGTGGAGGGATCCTGGGCTTGGGGAAAGAAGCGAGCAGAGTAGCCAGTTGACCCTCAATTCTTGACGAATGGCACCGAACTTTAGTCCGGCGAAAGGAAGAAAGACTATTCCATAGGACGGAAGCTTGCGACTTCAGTTCCTTGGACGGCACAGGCTTTGTCAATTGTCTACTCCCCGTGAAACTGTGAAAGTACCCCGCGAAGAAAGTAGTTGGGCAGCTTCACTCACCTGGCGTCACTCGGAAGCAACGCGATGAAATGGTTCCTGCGCGCGTGTGGCCCAGGTAAGCGCACCAGATGTGGTGACGAGCAGGTCAATCCTGGGCGGCGAGGTGCGTTGGGACCGGGTGTGCTCACAAAGCAATGTTCCCCGGTCAGACGAAACCAGCGGGCGTTGAAAGCAGGGAAAGCGCCTGAATTCCACGGCCGTCTTCGCGCCGCCGTGCTTACGCGAGTCCACCGAGGCCGAGGCGGCACTGCAAGATTGACCGTCAGGGAGGACGGCACGCGTCCTCAAGATCCACTGGTTCTCCACAGCTGGTCTGCTACTGTGACGAGGCATGGAAACAAGTGAGAGACACGGAGATTGCGGGCAACGGGGCAGGACCGAGGAGAGAAATGCGCGCACCTCGAAGTGGAAGCCTCCGATTCTCGAACACTCCGCGGCGAATCTTGCGGGTCTCCGTCCTCAACTACCAGGGTCGCGGATTCCCCAAGGGCAGGCAGGGCAGTTGCGTTGGGGAAGGAGAGGAGGGAGCCGGAGGGGAATTTTCCTGTCGGGCTAGATTCACCATGGGCTGGGCTAGATTCATTTGGGATTTACGGGTTAGATTGGTTCAAGGCCCAACTATAGTTAGTCCCTCGCGCCGAGTCTGCGTGGTTTAACGGCCCATTTATGAACCCAGCATCTTATCCACAGGCCGCTGGAGCCCAAAACACGCATCAGACATAAAAGGACACAAATTTATATTTGGGCTTTGCCAAGGTTTAGAAAGATGGAGAACGAACGCAAGAAAGGTCAAGTGGTCCTGCTTACAATTTGGAACGGAAGAAGTACAATATTGTCATTGGTTCTACTATTGCATCTAATGATCTTATAGCTTTACCAAATACTGTTATTTTGGCTTAGCCATGATTTTTTAGCATCACTAGTTCTAATCGAGTCAAATATCCATTCTTTACCCTAGACAACTAGAATATACTATGAGTTTTTTCTTACTTAAATGATGAAGTCATGAACTATTAAATAGTTGTAACTTTATTTGTTGATTATTGATTGAATATATGTTAGTTATGGCCGTGAGTACGATGATTGATTAAATGGATGTGAATGTACATGGAGGCATATCTTGTACAGTTTTTGACATATATTCGAGTTTGGGAATCTTTATTTATGAAATTCCTTAGTTTTATACTTCTATTCAAAATTGCTTGAAATTTTTCAATTTTTTTTATAAACCGCCAAATGAAATACTTCCTTGTTACAAATCATAGGTTCTTTTAACCTTTTCTAGATATGTAGTTTTACTATGTATCAAGACATAGCGTAATCTAAGTGTATAGTAAAATTAAGGTGTGTACCGAAGATAGTAGATTATATTATATCTCCTATAGTAGGTCATCGCTTAGTTAGCTTAGCTCACTATTTAAAACCTTTGTTTCACCGGATCTCCTAGTTTCAGTGTGTTCTTCTACCCGATTTCTTAGTTTTGCGGTGCTTGATCCATTTTTATTTACATGAAATTTAGGACAAACCAATCAATTTGAAAATAAACTAACTAGCTTAGTGTATATTAACGCAGGGAGCACATATGTTAATATTTTGGACTAATACTTATTCCTTCTCAACGTATTTTGAATAAGAAAAAGTTATACAATAGATTTTGATTCTTTAATTTGTTTTACAACGCATTGCCGTCTGCGAAAGAACCAATTGCATCTTAGAAACACTTTAAGTAGAAATCTATTGACACAAGTTTCATATTTTTGAAGTTACATTTATACTATAATTCTAATTAGTTGTTTTGCCAAAGTTTGTAGCGTTTTTTTATTGTCCTCGTTTATATAAAATGTGCGTACTATTCTGGAATGGGTGAGTGAATATTATTTCGGGGCGCCATGGTAGAGTCACAAACAATGGTATAACTGAAAAGCATCTAGGTTTCTAGTTGAGTTTCGGTGATTAATGACAGCACGAGATTACTGTGACTAACATGTGTTTTGTAGAGGCAACTTGAGTTAGGTCATAGTAAAGATGATTGTTTGGGCAATTATAGTTTTCATGCCCCTGTCGATAGAAATTGTTTCGGTTTTCAAAGGTTAGACAACAAGACGAACTATTTCTAAATGTCATTTGGTGTTGGGGAGACACTTAGAGTAGTTTAGGACTTTGTTTTTCATTTGGCTTTATTATTAAGCGGGGTATGAACTATTAGCTTGACCTAGATGAGTTTAATGGGTTAGGTGTGGTGCACACTTGTCAAACTTAGCATTAGATAGCTTAGGAATAGTCCAAAGATAACTTGGAGTCCACCTCATTCACAAAGGATTTTGAATTTGAAATGAATGTAGGGTCAAATGTTGACCGAACGCTGTTTTAGTTATGACCGGACTCACAGGTTCTGCGTCCGGTCAGTGATCAGCGCGCACAGCAGAAGCCAAGGAGCGATCGGACGCTGCACAATGATTGGAACCGGACGCGCCTCTAGTCGTATCTATAGCAGTAGGGCCTCACTGTCAGGAAGGACCGGATGCTGAACACTAAACGACCGGACGCCGAGTTTGCAGCGTCAGGTCAACATCAGAGAGGATCCAGAGACCAAAATTCCTGACCGGGCGTGTCCGATGGATGTTGACCGGACGCTGGCCAGCGTTAGGTCACTCCAACAACCTTCCCTGACAGGCTGACGCCACGTAGCCGTTGGCTACTGACCGGACGCGTCCAGTCACTTCGACCGGTGTGTCCGGTCACCCCGAAAACTAGTGAGTTGGATAATAACGGTTATGTTTTAAAGTGGAGAGTATATATACTTCTCCTGCTCGTCCAACTTAGCACTCTTGCCCATTTATTCAGCTGAGAAACACCTTTAGAGTGCAAGGGAGAGCAAGAGGCTAGTGGGGTGATTGAGATTTGATAATCCAAAATTAAGGACCTCATTAGTGTATATGGAGTAACAAGTATGCATCTCCACCTTTCTTATTAGGCTTGTCTTGGTCAAGTGAGAATTTATGCTTATTACTCTTGGTGATCGTCATCATCTAGATGGCTCGGAGGTGATTGGAAGTTTGATGATCATCCGACGGAGCTTGTGGATGACCCAAGTCATGGTGTGAGCGGTTGTGAACGATTCACCGCGACGGAGTGTCATAGAATCAGCCCGTAGAGAGTAATTGATCCTTGCGCGAATCAAGAAGGAGCTACACCCTTGCGCGGGTGCTCTCAACGAGGACTAGTGGGGAGTGACGACTCTCCGGTACCTCGAAAAAACATCGCCGCGTTCCTCTGTTTCTCTTTTGCTTTAAGTATTTACATTTGAGCAATTCAATTCATGTCTTTCAATTCTTAGAATTGTCGAGCTAGAGTATGATTGGAACTTAATGTGCAAAACTTTTATGTGGTAGAACGATAGAAACACTTCTAGGCAAAAGGGGTGAAATATGCTAAGTGTAGAATTTAATTATTAAAAAAAATTAGAATTAGCTTTAGACATATTGATCCTTTCGGTGAACGAAGTAATGTCTACTGTCTAGACCATCAGAAACGTATACGTCGAACAACTGGATTCACACGAAGAAACTGGCGTCGGCCAACGTTTTGCGATCTGCGGAGAACGCCCGCACGACAAAATTCGCAGAAAATGGTAGCCAAAGTGTCATTTGCTGCTGCAGCCAGCAGGCCAGTGCAGGCATATAAGCCAAAACGCAAACAATGGGCAATGGCTGTCCGGCCAAGCTCGTGCCGCCGTCGCTGCTTGTGCTAATTGCTAAACAACAAGTCCCGCTTCACCGTATAATCGCGAAAGACGAACCCGAGCCGCGTTCCCGTCCAGGTACACCACACGCCCGAGAACACCCGCGAAAATGACGCCGCCGGCGAGCACAGGCCAGCACGCCGGCGCGATAGACGACGAGCCGCTGCTGCCGGAGTTCTCGGCGGGTGGCCACGGCGGCGGCGGGGCGTCGGTCTCCGGCGCCGTGTTCAACGTGTCGACGAGCATCGTCGGCGCCGGCATCATGTCGATCCCGGCAGCAATGCGCGTGCTCGGCGTGGTCCCGGCGCTGTTCCTCATCGCCGCCGTCGCCGCGCTCGCCGACGTCTCCGTGGAGTTCATGCTGCGGTACACGGGGTGGGCGGCCGGCGGCAAGAAGACCAAGGGCACGTCGTACGCGGGGATCATGGGCGACGCCTTCGGCCGCTCCGGCGCCGCCGTGCTCAACGTCTTCATCGCCTTCACCACCGCGGGCACGCTCGTCGTCTACCTCATCATCATCGGTGAGATATACATATACTAGTTCGTTAGCAGCTTCAGCGAGCCGCGCCCGCGGGTGCTGGAATCTATCGTTCGTCGAGAGAATTCAGGTCGAATCGATTATGATAGTGTGTATGTGTGGTGCGGTGCAGGGGACGTGATGTCTGGGAGCGTCGGCGGAGGCGACGAGCACGCCGGGGTGCTGCAGGAGCTGTTCGGCCCGCAGTGGTGGACCGGGAGACAGTTCGTGCTGCTCGTCACCGCCGTCTTCGTTCTGCTGCCGCTCGTGCTCCGCCGCCGTGTCGGTAAGTTCACATCTCAGTTGCGTGCATTGGTTGAAAATCTCAGAGTAATATATAGTTTCGTTGAGATTACTCGCTAAGAAATCAGTTCAGTTGAGATTGTATGGCAGCAATTGGGGAACTGCCCAATCTGGTTTAATATTACTAAAATGACCTTACACGGGCGATATGATAAAGCGGTAGTATAACGCATGTGGACTTGGATCTGGCCCTAAGTTTTAAATTAAATAGACAGTTTGGTAGTCCGGCCATGGTGATGAAGAGATGATGGTATCACTTGAACTACTAGTGTATGAGTTCCGACGTGCAGGCTGTGGCCACAATATTGTTCTTGTTCATTTTGATATTTTCTAAGGAGGGGATGGGTCTAAGTAGCTGGGAGAATTATGTATTTGGCATTGACAAATAAATATTCGTGATCGTGATAATATAAGGAAGAACTTGAGTCATTCCTTGTTCATGTGAGTAGAGTTGATGATTTCAAATTTGGCATGACTAAAAATTTGAACTTTCTTATTTGGGCGCCAAGTTGAAATTTCCATTTCCTAGGTATGCACTTCATCAAGACAGCTTTCATTTGGGCTCAATAACTTGTTAGTGTGCTACATCGAGAAAGGGTCAGGAAGTGGTATTGATAAAGTTAAGAAAAATAACATGAATGCCCTTCTTGCCAAAGAGTAAATACATGATTCCAAATAGAAAAATAATAGATGGACAAGTTGTCAAATAAGAAAATTATAAATATCATAAATATATTTTGAACTAAAACATGGGATTTTGATAATCTTAAGTCTCACAAATAAATAAATAATAAATTTCAAATTCTAGAACTAGTTTATTCAGGTCATTTTGGGTAGGCTTAGCATGGGAGGTTTTTACCCTGTCTAGTTAGCTTGGTTATAAATTGTTTGATGTAGTTTAGATTGATGTGGCCTATAATTTTTTTTACCATTGGTTGTTGTATGACGTGGATGGCTAGCAGTGCCTTTGGCGTCGTCGGGAGGTGACCGCACGCCGGGGTGCAGGAGCTGTTCGGCCCGCAGTGGTGGAGAGACAGCTGGCTCGTCACCGGTCTTCGTTCTGCTGCGGCTCGTGCTCCGCCGCCGTGTCGGTAAGTTCACATCTCAGTTGCGTGCATTGGTTGAAAATCTCAGAGTATGGCAGCAATTGGGGAACTGCCCAATCTGGTTTAATATTACTAAAATGACCTTACACGGGCGATATGATAAAGCGGTAGTATAACGCATGTGGACTTGGATCTGACCCCTAAGTTTTAAATTAAATAGACAGTTTGGTAGTCCGGCCATGGTGATGAAGAGATGATGGTATCACTTGAACTACTAGTGTATGAGTTCCGACGTGCAGGCTGTGGCCACAATATTGTTCTTGTTCATTTTGATATTTTCTAAGGAGGGGATGGGTCTAAGTAGCTGAGAGAATTATGTATTTGGTATTGAGACAAATCAGTCTTTCGTATTTGGCACTAAAAAATTTGAACTTTTTTATTTGGCGCCAAGTTGAAATTTCCTTTCCTAGGTAGCACTGCCGTCCATTTGGGTCAGTAACGGCGTCAAGTGGCTGGTAAAATAACATGAATGCCCTTCTTTGTAGCAGAAATACATGATTCCAAATAGGGAAATAATAGATGGACAAGTTGTCTAATAAGAAAATTATAAATATCATAAATATATTTTGAACTAAAACATGGGATTTTGATAATCGAAGTCTACAAATAAATAAATAATAAATTTCAAATTCTAAGATGGCGTCCGTGACTTACCCATGTCCATAGTCTGTCTAGAGCTTGGTTAGAGGTTTGATGTAGTTTAGTGATGTGGGCACCATTGGTTGTGTGGCGTGGATGGGCGGTGGCTTTGGCGGTGGGCAGCGTCGCGTTGAGCGAGAATCGGGGCATGAATACACGGCGCGTCGACGGCGGCGACTTCGTCTTCTTGGGTCTTCTCGCCCACGCGAGAATAGAGGGAAAGAGGAGTGGCAGAGAGGTGCTCATGCTCCACGAAGAGAGAGAGAGAGAGAGAGAGAGAGGCAGAGGCGCGGGCTTCGCCGGCAGCGGCGATTCAAGAGAGTTCGGGCGCTGGCGGCGGCACGCCACCGTGTGTGTCGGCGAGTGAGATGCTCATCCGATGGCGGCCGTGACTTCCCGCGGCAAGTCAAGAGCGAGTGGTGGGCGTCGCGGCATGCTCGGCAATGCTCGGGCTCGGCTCCGGCTCGGTGGCAATGGGAGGTCGAAGCTTCGCTTCGACGGTGTGGCTTCGACAAGCGTGGCGTGGAGTGCTCGGTGGCTTCGAGCTCCGGCATGGAGATGGCCGAGGTAGCAACGCGAGGAGGCTCAGCGCTCCTACGAGCCATGGTAGCGGCGGCGCTCCAGCGCCCGAGCAGTAATGCTGCGACGGTGGTGTCATCCTGCGTCCACACGAGCTGGCTCGACAAGCGTGGCGGAGTGCTCGGTGGCCGGCTCTCGCGCGAGAGATGGCCATGGCGCTGCTGCATGTGGTGTTTGCGCTCGGGGGCTGCCGCGCGGTGGTGTCATCCTGCGTCCCAGCCTGCCTGCCGCCACGGCATGGCGGGCTGGGGGTGGCTCATCGCGCGAGCCCGCCGCCGCCACGCGCCTGGCGCCATTGGCCCGCCATGCGGTGGCTGGCCAGAAGGCACGCCCGCCACTGCGACCGAAGTCACGGCCTAGCTCTGCCGGGTGAGGTCGCCCTCGAAGGCACACTTGCAGTGAGTGGTCTTTGGGCGCCGGCCCACAACATCCTATGCTCCATCATCCTCTCCTCCTTCCATCAATCTAGGGAGAAAGGAGCGCTCGGCCGCTCGGGAAGTCCAGGGAGAAATTGCATGCGTGAGTAATAGAGGGTACGTTGGTCACACTAAGAAAAAACTGACACGATCAAAATAGTCAACTAACATATGAATGGATGAAATAGACGGTAGTGCCATATAGGGAAGGAAATTTTAACTTAGTGCCAGATAAGAAAGTTTAAATTTTGAAGTGCCAAATACGAAAGACTGATTTGTTTCAGTGCCAAATACATAATTCTCTCTAAGTAGTTTGCATGGCCCTGTTCGCTTCGCTGAAAAGATATGTTGAAAAGTACTATTCGCTGATTTGTTGTCAGAGAAAAACACTATACCATGGCTAATAAGCTAGGCTGATATGTTGAAGCGAACAGGGCTAGCTAGCTGGAGCGCGAGCGTGTATCTTGCATGTTTCAAATTGTGGCGTGTGGCTTGGAACTCAATTCTTGCTGAAACAGAAAACAACGCACACAAGCATTACCCCTCTAAACAAAAACCCCAACAACAAACAAATATAATATCCCCAAAAATGCGATCCTCTCACCTGACGCGAGCACCGCTACAGATACGAGTGCAAACTTTTTCTTCTTCCTTCTTCCTCGGGTGTTCTTCCTCATGAGCCCTAGCCGGCCAGCCCCGCCACCGTGCGCCTCAACCACCACCTAGGCCGCGGCCACTTCACTGCCCACCTACCACCCTCGTCGAACGAACCCGTCCTTCTCTGATCCCAATCCAGGAGTTCATCGGTGACTCGCCCCCACCGCCGGCACTGTCCATCCGGTTATATCTCCCTTCACCCGCACGGCGGCAGCGGCACTGTCTTGCTCACCACCCCCTCAACCCACCACCGCCGCCGGGCCAACCACCGCCCGAGCCCCTCCTTCTAAGCTGCCCGCCGGCCATGGATGGTCGCAAAATCTGAAACCCTAACCGCCGCCGGTCCGCTGTCCCGGCTGCGATGACCTCGCCGCTAGCCGTTCCGCCCATTGCCCACCGCCGCCCCCTTCCTCAGTTTCAGCCACGGGGTCGTCGTATGCGTCAAACAAATTCACTATTGGTTTTACGTCAAGCAATACGTACAGTAACTCCCAATATAGGAGTAAAAACAAGACGTAATAAAAAAAAAGATCGACACAGAAAGTTTCAATTGAAGGATCTAAACAAGGAAGAGCACTTCCCATTCGTTGGTTATTAGAAGCATCCCAAAAGTGTCCGGGTCAAAATTTGGCTTTCAAATTAAGTTCCAAATTAGTAGATGCTGCCAAAGGGAGTGGGGGTGCCATACGCAAAAAGGAAGCGACTCATAGAATGACAGAGGCAAATAGAGCTCTTGCACATTTTCGTTAATCCATGAACATAATCTAGGTATGTAGACACATGGATCCATACATCTCGATTGGAAAAGAATCAATAGAAGGAGAACCGGACGATATCTTTTTCGAAACAAATAAAGAGAAAAAAAAAGAAAACAAAAATCATGTTCAACTAAGCTCTCTCCGGCGGTGTGTGTGGTGGTGGTGGGGGGGGGGGTGTTGCTGCTTACTGTTAGCGGCGCACACGCTCGTTAGTGATTGGGCAAAAGAGGCGCCAACAGGAAATAAAATGAGAAGACACTACACAACTTTCATTGACCTTCTGACTGCGCCAAGTGCCATGAAAGTCTCTCCATCGCCCTTCGCGCCCAGCTTTTTTCTTTCTCCTTGAGCAGAATGCCCCATTTCTGTGGCACTACTATAGTAGAAATCCAATATTAGGCCTAGCTTAGTTCTAAAAAATTTTTACCCTAAACTATCACATCGAATCTTGCGGCACATGTATAGAGTATTAAATATAGATAAAAAAACTAATTACACAGTTTGGTTGAAAAATCGTGGGATGAATGTTTTAAGACTAATTAGTCCATGATTAGCCATAAGTGCTACAGTAACTAACATACGCTAATGATGGATTAATTATGCTTAATAAATTCTTCTCGCAGTTTCCAGACGAGCTATGTAATTAGTTTTTTTATTAGTATCCGAAAACCCCTTCCGACATCCCCGAAATATCCGATGTGACGTCCAAAAATTTTTATTTCGCGAACTAAACACAACCTTAGCAAACGGCACTAGGCACCTGGTCATGGGACGGGAAAGTTCATCAAATGCTACATAAATTCAGCACAAAGCATATCCGGCGATTTAGAAATGAGGCAGTCGCCATCATGAGCATTTGTTGGCACGATCAGCTTTGCATGCCAGAAGGTCAAAACTCAATAATGAGTGCCAGTAGTATTGATTCAGCTATCGTTTCCCCGCTCCAACGCAGTACAGTGCATGATCATCTTATGGCTCGGCTTCAAGGTTGGAGGTTGCTGAGATTAATGTCAATTGGCAATTCCAAGTTCCAAATACGACCAACCTTCTTTCAGGAGGGAAGTTCTACTCGTTCTGTCACGCTCAGGCAAAAGAATTGAAGCAAAATGCAACAAGCCAAAATCTGGGACCGCAGCAGGTTATTATTGGACATCATTTTCGTGGATGACACCCATTCTTACAAAATACACGGGCCAGTGGGCCACTTGACATGACCAGCTAACGACAACCCCGGCCCCACTTGCCAGCCGGTTGTGTGGGCACTGGGCAGAGGTCATCAGCACGACTGCACGAGGCACCGTCGACGGCAGGGCATCTGCCTCATGTGTGTGACTCAGCTCTTATCCCAACGCCCGCCCCAGTCATCGTTTTCTCGCCACTTCGCCACGTTTATACGCTCTCGACCCGCCGAATCCCAGACATACGCGCGCGCACCAAACAGGCTCAGCAGAGCTTCACTCCTCTTCTATCCCGCTGAAACCATGGCTTCCAAGAACCCGGCGTTCTCAGCTACGCCCAGCGCCGGCAGGGACACCGCGACAGCGGAGGGGGCCGCGCTGCTGCTGCCGGAGCACGCCGGGGGCGACGCCCCGTCGTGCGGGGGCGGCTCCGCTTCGGTGCTGGGAGCGGTGTTCAACGTGTCTACGAGCGTGGTGGGCGCCGGGATCATGTCCATCCCGGCGGTCATGTGCGTGCTGGGCGTGGCACCGGCGGTGGCGCTGATCGCCGGCGTCGCGGTCCTGGCTAACGCCGCCGTCGACTTCATGCTCAGGTACACCCGCGGCGCGCCGTCGTACGCGGCGCTGATGCACGACGCGTTCGGCCGCCCCGGTGCCAAGCTGCTTAACGTGTTCGTCGCCTTCAACGGCTTCGGGACGCTCACCGTCTACCTCAACATCATTGGTAACGCCACGATCCCCACACGGCCATGCCAGTGCTGGCTGCTAGCGTGCGAGCCTGTTCCGGCCGGTGCGAGTGACTAGGTGCCATGCCATGCTGTCGCCGTGCAGGGGACGTGATGTCGGGCGCGTCGAGCGGCGGGGAGGCGCACTCGGGGGTGCTGCAGGAGTGGTTCGGGAGCCATTGGTGGACCAGCCGGGAGGTGGTGCTGGTGGCAGCCGCGGCGATTCTCCTGCCTCTTGTGCTCCGGAAGCGTGTCGGTACGTGAGCGGTATATCGATGCGAATCGTGAAGAACGTGGAACAACATTTGGTTGGTCCTGCTGTATCTGGGGCTAGGAAGAACTTGGCTGATTCCGGCGTCGCGACTTGTCATCGTGCAAAATTTAAAACAAATCCATTCCAAGATTATTTTGCAAACTGAATCGCCAATAATACGGCTGTCTCGGTACCTGCAGTAAAGATGTGTCGGTGCTTGCTGATGGGTATTCACAAGTTTGCTTCAACGTGCAGATTCGCTGAGGTTCACGTCGGCCATCTCCATCCTACTGGCGGTGGTGTTCATGCTCATCAGCTTGGGGATCGCGCTGTACGCGCTCTTTAAGGGCACCGCGACCATGCCGCGGATGCTCCCGGACTTCTCCAGATTCTCCTCACCGTTCGAGCTCTTCACCGCCGTCCCCGTCATCGTCGTCGCCTTCACCTTCCACTTCAACGGTACTGGTTTCTTCTGCAACCACCATGCATGTAGTAGAACGTTGCCTGACAGACGGCTCGACTTTGCCTGATCCGAACGTCGCTCGCAACCGATGCAGTGCACCCGATCCGCGCGGAGTTGAGCAAGACGTCGGACATGAAGACGGCCGTGCGCGTCTCCCTCGTGCTCTGCGCCGCCATCTACGCCGCCGTGGGATTCTTAGGGTACCTCCTGTTCGGGGACGCCACCATGGCCGACGTGCTCGCCAACTTCGTCCGCAGCTCCGGGACCGGCGTCCCGCAGGCGCTCAACGACGCGGCGCGCCTCAGCTACGCGCTGCACCTCGTGCTCGTGTTCCCGCTCCTCCTCTTCTCGCTCCGGGTCAACGTCGACGAGCTCCTCTTCCCGGGTCGCCGGCCGCTCGCCGCGGACACGCGCCGGTTCGTGTCCCTGACAACCGTGCTCATGGCGGTGCTCTACGCGCTGGCCATTGCGATCCCCAGCATCTGGACGCTCTTCGAGTACTCTGGGTCCACGTTCGCGGTCACCATCTCGTTGATCTTCCCTGGCGCCATAGTTCTCAGGCACGACGGCCAAATTCTGAACCACTTTTTGCATTGTCAATGCTATGCTAGCTTAGAATCTAACACTCGATTTTTCTGCAGGGATGTTCATGGAATAGCAAAGCGCAAGGACAAGGCATTGGCGGCAACGATGATCGTTCTGGCAGTGGTCACGAGCAGCATCGCCATTGCCTCGAACATCATGAGCTCCATCAGTGACAAAGTCAGAGGAGGTCATGTAGCTAGCAGATGATGGCTCAGATCAATTGTTGCTCGTGTCACGCGTTCCTCTTGGGTATTCAGTATTCTTCCTTGCAACGAGATTGCTTTGGCCCATGAGATGCAAGTTTAGCCTGTGCCCCCTCATGCTCATGGTGTAGATGTTTGTGAGGAGATACGTAGGTAGATGGCTGTAAGGAAATTACCAGCTGGCCAATGTTGTATACTTGTACTTGTGATACATTACTGTGTAAAATACGTAGAAATCAATGAGCTTTTCTTTTTCAGGGTTGCAAATAATTCCAGGCCACTTGTTAGCCGTCTCCCTTATATCCCACATGTCTTGTCACTTACTGTGAGTAAAGGCGCCTTGTCGATGAATAAATAATTTCGCTAATATTTATAGCGTACAATCTATGTCTATGCCTAGTATTAAAATGAGCAAATTTACACATATGGCATACAATCTGTTGTCTCCCTTATATGCACCACGCATGTCGTGGTTTGACCTACCAGCTTATTGTGGGTCTTGGGATTTAAACAAAAGGTCTAATGAAACTCAGATTATTATTACAATAAGTAAACGTTAATCTCATTTTTCACATCATTTTAATTATTACATTTTGTATTTAAGTGATTGGAAAAGGTTTAAATTTAACATGCTATAATCCACTAGTTAATGAATAGCAATCACAAATTGAGATTGTTAAACCCTTGCATAAAAGAATGGCAGGTCAGAAGTTGAGTAGCGAAGGAAGGCATATGATCAGTGCTTCATGAACAAAGTATACAATTCACAACAGTCGAACAAGAAATCAGGCGCATGCCAAAAATTAACAGAATTGACAGGTTTCACGTACATGAAACACATTCTTATTACAGACACAAAGACGGCAGTATCTGGAGTTACTTGAAGTGCACAGCTGTTTGATGATCTCATTTTTATTGCCATGATAGCTACAAAGGGGAAAGGAAAACGTAGCACGACATATTCTGATCTACAGACTTCCTCAGCTCATCGATGATTTCCATGGTTCTGATCTGCAGACTTCCCATCATGCCCTTAGCTCAACATAGGAACCTGAGATCCCTGAGGTGCCAATCAGGGAGATCTGCAAGTAGAAAAATTAAATTATGCGTAAGGAGTCATACGAGGGGAAAAAAAAAGTAAGGAGTCATAAATATATAGCCATTTCACTAGCTTCTGTCCTGACACAACAAGCAGGCTCGGCGTGTATCGAAATGAGAACATAATTCCATACGTGCTAATTCATTTTCATCATCAGAAAATAATCCGATGAAAAACAAACTAAAGGAGAAGGTACATTTTCATAGTAATAACGACGCGGGACCAGAACATCCTTTCCCCATAAATGGTACACTATGTGCACAAGGTGGTGTTTGAAAAAGCATAACCATGCAATTCTTATAAAACTGCTTGCCTGCTAGTAATGCCATGAGCAAAAGATCATGGAGGAAGACCAGACAATATTGGCCAGGAATCAGCCCGAATGCATGCTTGTTTTGCTGGTTTATGGTGAAAGTTAGAGAAACGGGGAAAATATTTACCAATTTGAACAAAAATTACCCTGAACCAATAAAGCAAATCTAACCCACATGTCACCAATTTCAAAATGTCCGATATACATTTTCTCAAATCCTACCTGCAGAGAGGATTGACATTAGCTTGTCCCTGGTGGTAACAAAACAACCAGTTGCTGTCACCTCGTCACAGACAGAAGGGGAGCCATATTTGGTACTTCAGATTTCACATGCAAAGTGCAATTGGATGCAATTTTCCAGTACCAAGAGTTCTATACATGACAAACAAATTTAACAATCCTTGCCAGATCTTGCAATGCCATTCAGTGCATGAACACTTATAGCAAGACAGCCAGCTATGGTCAGTTGTTACTGTATAATTTGCTTAAAATTAAAATCTTTTTTTTTGGGGTACCAAGTGAAACACAATCAATATCAAGGTTTAGGATCCCACTATCAACTGAACAATTAACACCAGTTTCTGGAAATCATGGGCTTCCACATGGTATGGAAAATAATGGATGGATGGTTGAGGAAAATACAGATCAAAGTTTTTAATAGATTTTCTTGAGATAGGCAAAATACCAAGCATGGGAAATTCAATGATACAAAAATCAGTCAAGCAATAAACAAGATAAATTCTATTAAAAATGCAGCAACACTGCATATGGAACAAAAACTGAACATAGTCTTAAAAGGAACTATGGATGGTACAGTCAGAGAAACGACGATACTGAAGTATCAGGCAACATATTTCTAATTTTCTACAGCATAAGACAATACTGAAGTAAAACTGTACCACAGGGAAAGTAACATTCAGAATACGTACCTTTCCCCACTCAGAACCTATGCCACTGCATCTCATTTTGAGGTGTATCATTTTTGTCCCCAACTCAGTCTCCACCTTCTTTCTTAGATAATTTTCCTCAGGGCCAAAGGACTCCAGATATGTCATGTAGCGATTATATGCAGCTTTAACAGCATCTTCAATATAACCAGGTAAGGGACCACATTCTGCAAAAGATCTGCCTTGATCAGACTGATATAAGCACACCAAAAAAATACATGAGGAAATAGAGATAACAAGTACCAACTTCGCCAGTCAGGCCGCAAAGATCATCAAGAGCCATTCTTAGGGTGACCAAGGTTCCACTAAATTCTTCACACGCCTCAGCTGCACGAAATACATTTTTCAAAGCCTCTTGACCAGCCTTATCATCGGTGGCTTTAGATACTGCTTTCTTTGCTTCTGCTACGAGAGAATCTGGAAGTTCATTCCAACTAGCAGCCAACAAATCCTTAAATGCAGATTCTATCTCTGGGTCAGATATTGCAGGCAAGTGTTTTTCATTTGAACCGAAGAAGCGCCTCAGTTTCCATGAGAGAGGATTGTTCCCACCTGAGCTTATAACATGAACAAGCTAATTAAGAATGAGAAGTTTTAAGTGAAGTGCAGTATTAGAATCACATCATAATGAAAACAAACAAGGCATCATTGAGTCTTCTAGCATTTTTTCCCAAATATATAAACACAAATCAAACAAAAAAAAAATCCACAACTCGAACGATTTCACATAAAATAATCTAATCTTGTTAAAGTAAGTTTAATCACTTTGAATCCTCTTTAACCATTTCTCTCACAGAATGCAGTGCATATTATATTAGAATGAAAGATTAGTATTAACTAAGTATTTTCGTTGAAAAATAACATGGAAAAGGCAACCTTTGTATCCCCCTTTTAGTTAATGACTATATCCCTAAGTTCATGGTTAAGAACATGATATATTGGAATAGAACTGTTGGGGTTACATAAAAGCACACCCCCTCCTCCCCCATCCACAAACATGGTGTGTGAAAAAAATACAAGATGTCCCTTATTCCCTTCCACCTTCACTCAAACCAACCCTCCTTGCAGCCATCAGCACAGGATGGGCGAACCCTAAACAGTCACAATCTCATGGCACCCCTGATCCCATGCGTGAAAAACATAAATAATGATTTGTTGTCGCTGACTTCCTGAAGCCCGTGTACTCAAACAAAGGCTAGACGACCTTGTGTGTAGTTGCTTCATAAGCAAAGGCCTCATTGTCAAGTAACCGATGTTCTAGCTTTCAAGCAACATCACTCGAAATGCATGTGTTCAATAAATAAGAAAGTGAGTCATTCAGCCTAGAAAGAAACGCTCTAGGACCACACATTTCACATCAGAGCAGGTGTGTCCAGGCAACTCTCTATCTTCGTGTTGATATACTCTGAGATAGAGTGTGTCAACTCCAGTCAATCATAAACTCTCGCATAGTAACACCCTCGCCTACGGAGTAATAGCTTCTGGCCTTGCAATAAATCTCCCCACTAGCATCAACCTCGAGTTTTAATCTACCTAGTAATTAGGGCAACCATATCTAGGAGGATCCTAACCAGGAATCAACCCGGAAGCACCCGATAAAGAGATCAGTCTAATCAAAGAGACGTGGGGAGGAGTACCTGATACCGCAGCGATCGGGCGCGAGAGCGGCGCCACCCCGGCGATGGGCCGGGAAGCAGCAGACAGAGCCGACGCGGCTGCCGGGGCGAGGCGCAGGAGCCGGCGTGCGGCGGAGGAGCGGAGGGCGGCGGCGATCGTGGTCTGGGAGATCGCCGCGAGATGGAGGTTGAGGTGCTCTTGCGAAGTTGCGTGGGGTCGATGCCGATGGACGGGTACTGCTGTCGTTCTCGGGTTTTGTGGACTGGGCCCGTAATCCGCGAGCAAAGTTCAATTGGGCTGGTTCGGCGGGGTTTTCTTATCTTAAGTAAGGTAATACATTAATCGGAGTGATTTAGTGTGTGTTTAGTTCATGTTTAAAACTTGGTCCGGCTATTTATATATATAAAAAAAAACTTGGTCCGGCAAGTCAACTCAGCCTCGACAGCCATAGCTTGGCTTCAACAATCCAAGATGCGCTTGTTTCATTGCACAAAGTATTTCGTCGAACGGGTTCTGGACAGAGGATTTGAGCAGGCTCTAGGCACCTTCACCGTCGCCATCCTCTCTCTCCTCGCCGATAGAAAAGGGGCACTGGTTCTTGTCGTCGTCCTCCATCTCCTCGCTGATAGCGATACGGTGCAGGTGCCCTGGCCGCTGTCGCTCACCCTTAGTCCTCACCTCCTCGCCATAGTGAAGGGAGCAGGGGCGAGACGGGAACTTTTGCTGGACCAAGAAGCTGTGGTTTGGAGGTGGGGACACACGGGGAGAAGAAGAGAGGGAGCTGGAGCTGCACCGCAGCACGGATGACGGCCTCTGCGTGTGCCCCACCGTCCTCCGTGTGCACGGCGAGCGCCCCATCGACCTCCGCTCCGTGTGGACGGCGAACACGTAGGACGAGGTGAGCGCATAGAGGCGGTAGGAGCGGCACCGGCGAAGCCATCTCGGGTGCGGATGAATCGAGCGCGTGCATCTCCGAGCGGTGAAGCGAGTGCCAGTTGTAGCCTGGCTCTGCGAAAAACGGCCGTCCA